AAAACTCCGCGCTTGGAGGCCCAACACGAGGCTACAAGAATAAAGTTGCATAGTAGACATCAAGCTCTTTTCTGGCAACGTTGCCGGGGAGGTCAGGTAAGCGGCACTCACATACCGTCAGTGAAGCTCTTTTCTGACGCCGTTGCTGGGAAGGTGAGTGCATGAAGGTATATCTATAGATCTTGCAATTGAATCTTTTACTTTCTTGTTTTATCACTAGTTTGGTTTATAAAAGAAAACTACATAAAAATGGAATTGAGGTTGCATCATATTATTGATCATCTTTATAATATCTTTCTTGAAAATGATGGTTCAGAAAACTGTGCTCAATTGTTAGAAGAAGAAGTCAATAAAATGTTTGGCACAAAATATTTGAATGATGAGCATGATGGCAATGTTGTTAGTATGAATTTTTTGAATATCCATGATGCTAATGATATGCAAAGCCATAAGCTTGGGGATGCTATGTTTGATGAAGATGATATTTTTAGTCCCCCAAGATTTGATGTGCAAATTTGCTATAATGATTGCATGCCTCCTATTTATGATGATTATAATGATGAAAGTGCATTTGGAGAGGTCATGACTTTATTTAGTGATGAATCCACCATTTCGCATGAGGCTTCAATTGACTATGATAACAAAGTTGCTATTTATGATGATTATGGTGATGACATGTATGCTATAAAGAATAATGATAACCATGAAACTTGTCATCATGATTTTAATTTTCACTCCCATGATAGTTATTTTGTTGAGTTTGCTCCCACTACTATTAATGAGAAGAAATTTGCTTATGTGGAGAGTAATAAGTTTTCTATGCTTTTGTGTCATGAAAAGAATGCTTTATGTGATGGTTATATTGTTGAATTTCTTCATGATGCTACTGAAATTATTATGAGGGAGGAACTTATGCTCGTCCTTAGCCAATCTTCGCTTAATCTGTAGGCCCTGTTTTGAGTTGCAAATATTAGCAACAGAACCAGTATCAAATACACAGGCGTTACTGCGAGCATTAGTAAGGTACACATCAATAACATGTATATCAAATATACCTTTTCACTTTCCCATCCTTCTTCTCCGCCAAATACTTGGGGTAGTTCCACTTCTAGTGACCAGTCCCTTTGTAGTAGAAGCACACAGTCTCAGGCTTAGGTCCAGACTTGAGTTTCTTCACTTGAGCAGCAACTTGCTTGCCATTCTTTTTGAAGTTCCCCTTCTTCCCTTTACCCTTTTCTTGAAACTGGTGGTGTTTTTGACCATCAACACTTGATGCTTCTTCTTGATTTCTACCTCCGCAGCTTTTAGCATCACGAAGAGCTCGAGAATTGTCTTATCCATCCCTTGCATATTATAGTTCATCATGAAGCTCTTGTAGCTTGGTGGCAGTGATTTAAGAACTCTGTCAATACACTATCAACTGGAAGATTAACTCCCAGCTCAGTCAAGTGATTGTGGTACCCAGACATTCTGAGTATATGTTCACCGACAGAACTATTCTCCTCCATTTTGCAGTTGTAGAACTTATTGGAGACTTCATATCTCTCAATCCGGCATTTGCTTGAAATATTAACTTAAACTCCTGGAACATCTCATATGCTCCATGACGTTCAAAATGTCGTTGAAGTCCCGGTTCTAAGCCATAAAGTATGGCATACTGAACTATCGAGTAGTCATCAGCTTTACTCTGCCAAATGTTCATAACATCTGGCGTTGCTCCTGCAGCGGGTTTGGCACCTAGCGGTGCTTCCAGGACGTAATTATTCTGTGTAGCAATGAGGATAACCTCAAGTTACGGACCCAGTCCGTGTAATTTCTACCATCATCTTTCAACTTGGCTTTCTCTAGGAACGCATTAAAATTCAACGAAACAACAACATGGGCCATTTATCTACAACAACATAGACATGCAAAATACTATCAGGTACTAAGTTCATGATAAATTAAAGTTCAATTAATCATATTACTTAAGAACTCCCACTTAGATAGACATCCCTCTAATCATCTAAGTGATGACGTGATCCATATTAACTAAACCATGTCCGATCATCATGTGAGATGGAGTAGATTTCAATGGTGAACATCACTATGTTGATCATATCTACTATAAGATTCACGCTCGACCTTTTGGTCTCAGTGTTCCGAGGCCATATCCGCAGATGCTAGGCTCGTCAAGTTTAACCCGAGTATTCTGCTTGTGCAAAACTGGCTTGCACCCATTGTATGTGAACGTAGAGCTTATCACACCCGATCATCACGTGGTGTCTCGGCACGACGAACTGTAGCAACGGTGCATACTCAGGGAGTACACTTATACCTTGAAATTTAGTGAGAGATCATCTTATAATGCTACCACCGTACTAAGCAAAATAAGATGCATAAAGGATAAACATCACATGCAATCAATATAAGTGATATGATATGGCCATCGTCATCTTGTGCCTTTGATCTCCATCTCCAAAGCACCGTTATGATCACCATCATCACCGGCTTGACACCTTGATCTCCATCGTAGCATCATTGTCGTCTCGCCAACTATTGCTTCTACGACTAGCGCTACCGCTTAGTGATAAAGTAAAGCAATTACATGGAGATTGTATTTCATACAATAAAGCGACAACCATATGGCTCCTGCCAGTTGCCGATAACTGTGTTACAAAACATGATCATCTCATACAACAATTTATATAATCACGTCTTGACCATATCACATCACAACAAGCCCTGCAAAAACAAGTTAGACGTCCTCTACTTTGTTGTTGCAAGTTTTACGTGGCTGCTACGGGCTTAGCAAGAACCGTTCTTACCTACACATCAAAAACCACAACGCGGTATAGTGATTGTTTTTTGATCTTCAGAAAGAACCATGTTCATTGAATCCGATTCAACTAAAGTTGGAGAAACTGACACCCACTAGCCACCTGTGTGCGAAGCATGTCGGTAGAACCAGTCTAGCATAACCGTATGTGTAATGTCAGTTTGAGCCGCTTCATCCAACAATACCGTTGAATCAAGAATCAACTAGTGACGGCAAGCAATATGTATATACCCATGCCCACAACTCCTTTGTGTTCTAGCATATAACATCTACGCATAGACCTGGCTCTGATGCCACTGTTGGGGAATGCAGTATTTCAAAAAAAATCCTACGATCATGCAAGATCTATCTAGGAAATGCACATCAACGAGAGGGGAGAGTGTGTCCACGTACCCTCGTAGACCGAAAGCGGAAGCGTTAAGTAACGTGGTTGATGTAGTCGCACGTCTTCGCGATCCAACCGATCAAGTACCGAACGCACGGCACCTCCGCGATCTGCACACGTTCAGCTCAGTGATGTCCCTCGTACTCTTGATCCAGTTGAGGCCGAGGGAGATTTTCGTCAGCACGACAGCGTGATGACGGTGATGATGAAGTTACTGACGCAGGGCTTCGCCTAAGCACTACAATGATATGACCGAGGTGGATATCTGTGGAGGGGGCACCGCACACGGCTAAGACAACTGTTAACTCGTGTTCTATGGGGTGCCCCCTCCCCCGTATATAAAGAAGTGGAGGAGGGGAGGGTCGGCCCTCTCTATGGCGCGCCCCAAGGGGGATTCCTACTCCTAGTAGGAGTAGGTTTCCCCCCTTTCCCTAGTTGGAGTAGGAGAAGAAGGAAGAGGGAGAAGGAGAGAAGGAAAGGGGGGGCGGCCCCCTCCCCAATTCGCATTGGGCTTGGGGGGCACTTGGCCGCGTTCTCCTCTCTCCCACTATGGCCCATTAAGGCCCATTGACTCCTCGGGGGGTTCCAGTAACCCCCCGATACTCCGGTAATTGCCCGAACTTATCCGAAACCATTCTGGTGTCCAAACATAGCCTTCCAATATATCAATATTTATGTCTCAACCATTTCGAGACTCCTCGTCATGTCCGTGATCACATCCGGGACTCCGAACTACCTTCAGTACATTAAAACACATAAACTCATAATACTGATTGTCATCGAACATTAAGCGTGCGGACCCTACAGGTTCGAGAACTATGTAGACATGACCGAGACTCATCTCCGGTCAATAATCAATAACGGAACCTGGATGCTCATATTGGTTCCTACATATTCTACGAAGATCTTTATCGGTCAAACCGCATAACAACATACGTTGTTCCCTTTGTCATCGGTATGTTACTTGCCAGAGATTCGATCGTCGGTATCATCATACCTAGTTCAATCTCGTTACTGGCAAGTCTATTTACTCGTTCCGTAATGCATCATCTCATAACTAACTCATTAGTCACACTGCTTGCAAGGCTTATAGTGATGTGCATTACCGAGAGGGCCCAAAGATACCTCTCCAACAATCGGAGTGACAAATCCTAATCTCGATCTATGACAACCTAACAAACACCATCGAAGACACCTGTAGAGCATCTTTATAATCACCCAGTTACGTTGTGATGTTTGATAGCACACTAAGTGTTCCTCCGGTATTCGGTAGTTGCATAATCTCATAGTCATAGGAACATGTATAAGTTATGAAGAAAGCAATAGCAACAAACTAAACGATCATAGTGCTAAGCTAACGGATGGGTCAAGTCAATCACATCATCCTCTAATGATGTGATCCCGTTCATAAATGACAACTCTTGTCCGTGTCTAGGAAACTTAACCATCTTTGATTAACGAGCTAGTCAAGTAGAGGTATACTAGTGACACTCTGTTTGTCTATGTATTCACACATGTACTAAGTTTCCGGTTAATACAATTCTAGTATGAATAATAAACATTTATCATGATATAAGGAAATATAAACAACAACTTTATTATTGCCTCTAGGGCATATTTCCTTCATACAAAACATGGGCACATTTACTAGAAACATAAAAACACACAAATAATATCATAACTAATATCCACGTGTTAGTATACTGCCTGATATTCACGTACCCATTTACTAGTGTTTTGAAAAAAAAAAAGATGTGGATCTCCCCCTCCCCTCACCCCCAAAAAAGCCCCCAAATCATGGTCTCCCCTGGCCGCTGCCGTCGACGGTGCCGACCGAAGGCGGCGGGTGGGTGGGCGCGCCCCGTCGGGCTCCCTTCGCGCGGAGGCGAGGTGACAAGCGGGCGGCGAGGAGGTGTGGTGGTGCTGGTCGAGAGGCGCGGGGGAGGAGTTGGGATGCATAACGGAGGCCCCGGTGGGGCTGTGGAGGTCCTGGAGCAGGTCGGCGCTGCACAGCAGAGGGCCCTGGAGGAGATCTGGTGGCGGCGACCCGTGCTGATCCGAGCCCGATCTGGGCTTTGTGGGCTGCTCGCGCAGAAGTGCCATGATTGGCCACTCGAAGCTGGAGTGCTTGCATCAGCAGCTACGGGCGGGGGTGGAGGACCCTCTGCTATGCGGGAGGTGGATGGTGGGCTGAGGCAGTGGTCTCGCTACGTGCAGGAGGTGGAAGACGGTGTGCTCTCAGCCATGCGGGTGTTGGTAGACCACGACTTCACGGCTACAACGATGAGGTGATGCGGCGGCGGTGGTGTGAGCCAATTTGGACAAGGTTGTGCCAATCCTGTGGCAGGGATGTAGTTGTGCGACTATACGGACGAAAGTCCTGCCCGTCTCCGGTCGGTGCAGGTGGCGACGGTGCTCATGGGTGTCGTTTTCCTCCTTGGAGGCGTCACCGAGTGTGTCGGCATCTTCCTTGCTTTCCCTTAGGGTTGGCAGTTGTCTCCGGGCGAAAGCCTTGGTCCGGAGTTGGATCGGCGCGATGGTGGCGTCTTCGACGTCGTTCCTTCGTTGGGAGCATCATGTTAGGAGACACTACCCGAGGTTCTATGTGGCGCTCCTCCGGTGCTCGTCGTTGTCCAAGGATGAGCTTAAGGAGTGCAATGTACGTCGTTGCCGGTGAGCCCAAGCCCGTGCTTTCCTTGGACCGAACAAGTTCCTCCATCTCCCCACCACCTTCTTTTAGGCATCAAGGGTGGATGATGCATCGACGAGGGACGTTCAGTTGGAGTTGTCTTCGGAGGTGACCGGCGTCGGTCGAGACGCGGTGCTGTTGCTTAGCTTTGGATAGACACTTCTACTTTGTATTTGTGTTGTCTGTGATGGCTATATTCGAACTAGCTTGGGTGTGAAGTTGTGTTACACTTGTTGTTCGTAGCAAGTTGTAGCTCTCTTGTAATTAAAATTCTACCTTTTATAAAAATATGATACGCCTAAGCGTACTTTCGAGAAAAAAAGAGATGTGTCAACCAAACCAAACAGTGCCGAGAAACTTCAGCGCGACGGTATAAGACTAGTCATAGTGGGTAGTAACTTAGACTAGTAACATGCATATGTCACTAGTCTATGTTACTACCTTTATATTGGGAAGTACTACCTCCGTCTCGGTGAATAAGTCATTCACATAGTTCTAGATCGACTATTTAACTATCTAAATATGTATTATATGTGACAAAAAATATATATTTAAAAACTACATTCGTGTAGAAATCTATTGATATATTTTTCATGACATATAACACATATTTATTTTCTCAAATCGATGACCTAAAACTACGCGAATGACTTATTCACCGAGACAGGGGTAGTAACATATGTGAGGTGTCATGCAATAGATCATTTATTAAGTTGTAGACTCATCTTGTCTTGATACGTGTGATGTTACAGTAACTAGTTATGTTACCACATGCCCCTCTTTCCTCATTACTCCCTCCTTTCCGGTTTATAAGGCTTATCTCAAAATTTTGGTTTTTCCATTTTATAAGGCTCAATTTGATTGTTCATCATCACAAGTTCAGATTCTAAGGTGCATTAAATAATTGCATGCAAGTATGAAAAGAAAATTGACCGATACATGTACATTATGCATGCATGCATTGCAATTAATACATTGGCAAACATAAAATTTTGAGGAAAACAAAAGCATTAATTGGATGCTTTGCAAATTATAAAAAGTATTTCACCACTCACCATCTACCTTGATTGATGAGATTTTTAAATTGAGCCATATAAACCAGAAAAGAGGAGTAATTACTCGCCACATCATCTGTTTTGCCTAAAGATATGTGATGTTACCACCTATATTACTCCCACTATGGTTATTCTATAAACACAACACAGACCGAGGCTGCTTTCGTGGCGCACCTCCTCCGTCATTTCATCTCACGCCCAATCCACATCCACGTGACGCGACGTTCCAACCACCATTGACCTCACCCTGTCCCGGCACAGGAAAAACAAATCTCTGAACAAGTCAATCACGCCCCAATTTTTGTCCGGATCAATCACGCCCCAATTGGCCACGCACGAATTACGTTCGTTTTTCCACACTAGAGACTAGACCAGGCGACCAGCCCAACAGAAGCCTGTGGTGAAAGGGAACGAACGGACGGCGCCATTTCCCTCTCGCCCCGTTTGAACGATTCCATTCCGTCCTCCTCCTCTCCGCGTGGGTGCGTGCGTTTTCCAGGCTAGTACAGTACGTACGCACGCCATTAGTGCGCCCGATTGCGCGTCCCGCACCGCCACCCGCCCGCCACCATTCCACCATTCACACCGCCTCTCCTTCTCCCTCTCCCCCTCGTCGCCGCCTCCCCTCCTCCCGTACTACTACTTTTCTCCGGATCCACCGGGATTAGCAGACCAAGCGGCCGATTTGGTCACGTGTTCGCCCCTTGATTCCTTCTTGGCGGCGGCGGCGGCGGCTGTCCCGCTGGTCCTCCTCCCTCCTCCTTCCCCGCGCTCAATCCGCCCCGCGTTCCCCTGCTGCTCCAGCCAGCCAGCCCGCGTTCTGCTCTCCAATCGCTCCGGACCGGGAGGAAAGCAAAGATCGAAATACTTGCGGAGCTGACAGTTCTTTGGAAAGATCGACCGGAATCAGGAGCGCGCTTCTTCCGGTGCCAGTTCTTGGAGCAGCAGTTCTTGGGAGGTCGCTCGCGTTCTTGCGGAGTTGCGTCGGACATGCGGAATTGCCGGAGGAGAGGCCCGGCGGCGCTCTTCCTGCTCTGGTTCCTGGCGACGGGCTTCCAGCTGTGCGCGGCCCTGAATCACGAAGGTGCCGGGTCGTGGCTTCGGTTGCTTCTTCTTTCGGCTTCGGTTTGTTGTTTTTCCAGCTTCTTGGTTTGACTCTGTTCGGGGCCTTGTTTGCTGGATTCTTTGCAGGTCATGCGCTTCTGAGGTTCAGGGAGATGGTAGAGGCTGATCCGCGTGGTGCTCTGCTGGATTGGGATGAAGGCCACGCTACCCCTTGTTCTTGGTTCGGCGTGCAGTGTTCGGATGATGGACGGGTTGTAGGCCTGTAAGTTGCTTTCTTTGCACAGAAAAAGATGGAACACGGATTTGTCATTTCTGCTTATTTGGAACAAATCAACGCCTGAATTAAACTGTTAAGAAGAAAACGAAGGGATATACATCACATTTTACCTGTTTAGGCTGATTATTTTTGGTATTTGTGGCCATTAGCAGACCTGCAGAATCATATTAGTACGTTGTCTTGCACCGTTGGAATAATGATTGGCATTTTCTTGTTCTAAATTATAAGGCATTCCATCCAACTGCATTTAGGGAGCATCTTTCTTTGGATTCGCAGTTTGTTGACCGTCCTGATAAGGAGGGCCCTTATTAACACTTCAAAAAAGGAAATAGGGCCCTTTACAAGTCTGCATGTGGAGCATGAGCTGTTTAGTATAGGATGCCCATCTTATGCAGTTACGTTTGCTCTGTTTAAATTGTTTTCTTTCATGTGTTCTGTTTGCAATATTTCCCTATGATCTGATTGATAATATGTATTTTGATGTTTTTGACTAATTTGTGTGTGCCTTTGCTTTGTAGGAACTTGTCAAATCTTGGTCTGAAAGGCGTGTTATCTCCTGAGATTGGACAGCTTATTAATATGCATTCTCTGTAAGCATATCCTGCACTTCCTTCAGTGATATTTACTCTGGAACACCTTGATATGACATTACACGTTTCACACTTCGAACCATAAGATAGTATTTGATATTTCTGAAACTACCACTGGATAAGAGTCATTTTGCACTTCGATCTAGGATTTTATGTTGAGCACAACAGTAAAGCTGTAACTTTGTAGTGTGTATGTTTTCCTTATGAGGCTTGTGACCTTTTCAGCTTTTGAGCTGTCAATTAGGGCACATTGGCTAGCTTGATGGAATACAGCCTGCATGAATCTTATTCAAGTACATGATTGTTTGATTGCAAATAGACCCCCCCCCCCTCCCCCAAGAGCCACCCACCCCTGCAAAGAGCTCTGTATTTTTCCTATCGTTAGTAGCATCATAAATCTTAACTGTTGAATTATGTATGCCCATTCAGGCCTTCACCAAGAAAGCATCTTGTATCTACAAATACCATTTTTTGTATCTTATGCACTTGTGTTACTTCTGAAATGATGTTCGCTCTTCAAACTTTTCTGATCTATTTTTCTTCCATCTATACAGTGTACTGCACAAGAACTTGTTCTATGGTACTATCCCTAGAGAGATAGGAGATTTACGGGAGCTGAAGGTGTTGGATCTGGGGTACAATAACTTCAATGGATCAATTCCATCAGAGCTAATAAACATTTTATCCCTGGAGTTTATGTGCGTGCGAACTTCGATATGTGTTTTTTCCATTTCAGTTTAACTTCAAACTTGACTGACCTTACTACTTGAATTGTAGCTTTCTTAAAGGAAACAGACTTTATGGTGATTTACCTCTTGAGCTAAATGAGCTCATCAGTCTTTGTGAGTCTCAGGTTCACCAAGGCAGGGCTTTGTCAAATAGGATGCCCACTGCAAGGTTTGTCTGAGCTTTCTTCTACTTGCATATCTGAGAGTTAAACTTGTGATTATGCAAGGCTTGAGTGCAAGTTCAAATCAAAAAGGGATTAGAGCAAGCTTGATTTTGGGTTTAAAAAAATCCCACCCTGCTCCTGCAATCACATGTCTGTTAGCTGAAATATTTTAGAATTTCGACTCAACAAATATCAGAGCTTTTGTTAGGAACTGTTCCTTCCTCGGTAAAATGGTAAATTACATCCTAGTCTTTCGTAGCAGTGTAAGGCTACCTCAATGGATCAAATGGACGTATGGCTTGTTGGATGCTCCTCTTACTTGAACACCAAGTAGGCAGTAACTACTAAGACCAGTATAAATATTTTGTTAGGAGAACTTACTTTATAACACATGTCTGGAGTTCAGTACTTCAGACTGTCATAGGCACCATTACTTGGTTACTAGGTATACTTACATTTTGGTCTACAACGGATTCTTGGTTGATGAAACTTTTATTGAATATTTTTCCGTTAGGGTGATCTAGTAAGGATGACTTGGAAATTTTATGGCTTCTTTTGCAGGATTTTTTGTTTACTGCAAACATGATCGTTTGTTTCCTCTAACATTCAGTTATTCACTATGTAGGGGTGAGGACAGCGCTACAACCAGAAGACTTCTAGCAGGCAAAGAAAATCATTCTCCAAAGAACGAGATGCTTGGTTCTGAAAATTCTGTATTAGAACCATCAGATGTGATCCCTTTTTTTAAGCTCCATGAACCCCACAAGGATCCAGCACCACCAGTTTTGCCCCATGCCTTGACACCACCTCCTCCTTCTGAACCTGCTCCTTCCCTTGCCTCTCTTGTATCTCCGAACAAAAACCAAACCGCAAGCAAAGGGAGCAAGAGCAAGAGCGGGAAGAGCAATTCTGTGACGATATATGCATTAATAGGAGCAGCGATTTGTTTTGTGGTTCTATCTTTGTCAGCTGCAATATTTATTTGCTACCGCCGTGGGAAGGCTAGCAGTGTTGTGCCCATGTCTTCAAGTAGGGAACTGCAGACCACTATCCTGGGAGGTTAGTGTGCTGACAGATTTGTTTTTTACATGTTAAGATGCATTTCTACGATCATGATAGCAACAGTGTGTGCTTCTTCTAACGCACGCAACAGAAATTTGGAGTCAACTGTGAAATTCTGACTTCTATTTTGCAGGCATAGCTTTATTCAGACGGTCAGAGCTCGAAACAGCCTGTGAAGATTTCAGCAATGTAATCGGTACGCTACCTGGATGTACATTGTATAAAGGAACTCTTCCATGTGGAGCTGAAATAGCTGTTGCATCTACACTGATAAAACATGCCTACGGGTGGTCTGTTATAGCCGAAGCACAATTCAAGAATAAGGTATCTAACTGGGTTTTCTGTCTCATTCTTAACGCTGTAAGATGCTGAGTTTCTAACATAGATATGATGTTTTATTCTAGGTTGAAATGTTGTCGCGGGTGAACCATAAGAATTTCCTGAAACTTGTGGGTTACTGTGAAGACGAAGAACCATTTACCCGGATGATGGTGTTTGAGTATGTTTCAAATGGATCCCTATTTGAGCACTTGCACGGTAAGAATTCCCAAGCACATTTTGTTATTCTTCTTGCCAAGATGACTCGTGCTACTAGCTTACTGGCAGTTATACTGTCCATGATTAGTTAATGCTAACATCGAAACATTTCTGTTGCAGTTAATGAGGCAGAGCACTTGAACTGGCAGTCGCGCCTGCGGATGGCGATGGGAGTAATATACTGCCTGTACCACATGTACCAGCAGTATCCTCCTGTGATCCTAAGAAATCTGAACTCGTCGTGCATATACCTGACCGAAGACAACGCTGCAAAGATTTCAGACATCGGTTTCGGCGATGACTGGAAAGAAGGCGAGGACGAATTCGATGAGCCTGAAGAGTGCACCATAGTGTATAGGTTTGCCTTGCTTCTGCTTGAGACGATCTCTGGAAGGCGTCCGTTCTCCAATGACACCGGCCTCCTGATTCTGTGGGCGCACCGGTACCTCACCGGCGAAAAGCCCTTGACGGGTATGATTGACCCGACACTCAGATCAGTCCCCTTGGAGCAGGTCGCGGCGCTGACAGAGCTGGTGAAATTGTGCATAAGAGATGACCCCTGGCGGAGGCCGTCGGTGGGGGAGGTAACCCGGAGGATGCAGGAGATCACTGGGTTCTCTCAGGATCAGTCGACCCCAAGGAATAGCGCATTGTGGTGGGCTGAGCTTGAAATCCTAACGGTATAGAGAAATGCTAGCCCATTGTGGAATTGCCTTGAAGCCATTCTGCAGTCCATTTGGTAGAAGGATCAGAGGAAATTGTACAGTCTGGGTTTCTTACTCCTTAGGCAGGCATACAGGTGTACAGATATGCCTGCACTGCTCACACTATTCTTTCGTTCTTTGGTAGATATGTTCTTTTTTTTCCTTGTTAAATTTGACTAGTGAAATCCTGCAAAAGCTTGTAAGGCGCAAATATGTGCCAAACATTTGTAAATAAAGTTTGAAATGTGAAACAACTTGTTTCAACAGTTCAGCGGAGACTTGAAATATTTTGAAAAAAAAGTGAAGACTTGAAACGAAATGTACTATGTGCAGGTTTTTGGCTCTCGTGTCGATCATCTTTTGCTGTTCACAGTGTTGCTCCCGCGCGCGTGGCAGAGCCACGACTCGGACGGCGGCTTCACCTGCAGCTGCAGCTGCGGCATCCGCCCGGACGTCGAGTGCAGCGGTGAGGAGGCCGCCTTGCCGCTCCTCCTCTCCCTGCTCATCCTCGGGCTACCGCCGCCGCCGCCGTCCGTGCCCGATCGGGCCAGCCGGCTCAGGGCCTTCCTGGCGTCGGCGCAGTACCTCTTGCTCGTGCCAAGGATCGACATGCCCAGCCCGGGGCCGCCGGGAGTCGACCACTCCTTGCCGCTGCCGCTGCTCTTCTCCTCGTACCAGTGCGACGGGTCGCCGTTCCGTAGCCCGAGCTCCTTCACCAGGACGTCGCCCATCGTGGTGCTCCGGCGAGGAGGGGAGGCGCGGGGGTGCCGCGGACGCGCCGGGCTCCACGGGAACCCGCACAGCACTGGCTTGACGCACCAGGGGAAGAGCACCGTGAACCCGCATGACCTCGGAGGCGTCTCGTCGCCTCGCGCCTCCTCGTGGCGCCACGCTATCTCCTGCGGCGGCGTGCCATTCCAGCTCTCCTCCTCCTGCTGGACAGTGGGAACGCGGCGCTCGCGGCGTGACGTGTGCGTCTCGAGCCTGGCCGTGGCCGGCGCCTCGTCCTCGTCGTCGTCGTCGTGCTCGGAGCGGCGCGCGGCGCGGCGCGGGGATTTCTTGGCGCGCTTCTCCGTGGACGTCCTGGCGATGGCGTTGGCGGCCGGGAGGAAGCGGTCCATGATGAAGCTGGGCAGGCGCCTCGACGCGGCGCGGCCGTCGATGGAGCTCAGCCGGGCGGAGAGCGCGGCGAGTCGGTCGGACGACGAGATCCTGTCGACCGCGTCGGAGAAGGTGTCGTCGTCGTCGTCGCTGCTCGTCGCGTCGGTGGTGGCGTTGCCTCCGTGGTACGCGCGGCCTTGGCCGCCGCGCCCCGGGGGCGGCCTCGGGGGCAGCCAGCCCCGCTCCAGCGACGCGCCGCCGGCCTTGGGTACGCCCGGGGAGCTCTCCCACGAGAAGGGCACGTGCGTGCGCTGCGGCGACGCGGCGCGCGCGCCGCGCGGCGTGCCGGCCGCGGACCCGCAGCAGGAGCGGCGCGGCGTGGGGAGCGGCGAGTCGAGCAGCTGCGCCACAACGTGCCCGTCGCTGGGCTTGCGCCGCCGCCGCCCCCGGTGCTGCTGCTGCTCCTGCCCCTCGTATCCGCCCCTGGCCGTGACGATCTCCATGCCGGCGACGGCGCTGCACCTGCAGTGCACGGTCGGCTACGCAACCACCACCACCGCTGCTGCTGCTGCTACTCCCGCGGCGCGCTGGAGCTGCGGTGCATGCAACAGTGGTACGACCGGGGGCGCGTATAAAAGGCGGCGTGGCGCGGTGGTTGCGCGCGGGCGGGCATTGGCGCGACGGAGCACCGGCAAAGGCGACGCGAGGCCGGTGGTTGAGCGTTGGTTCGGCGCGCGTGGGGGGAGCTCTCAGCTCTGTCGATCTACTTCCCGTGACGCCGTTTATAGGCCGCAATGGAGGTTGCCGAAAGGGAAGGGAGCCGCTCCCGGTGGAAAACTTTAGAAGGCTCCGGCGCGGGATGGGCGGCATTTTTTTCCTTGTTCGTGGAATTCCAGCGTGATTTATTTCGGATTTTCCACTTTGTCAATAGGATCGCTTGAAACGAGTCGCACTCGTACTACTCCACGGAGAGTGGAGCTGAAGAGGTTTCCCTGCCGAACTGCCGTCATGTGTAGAAATGTGGGGCTGAACTGCCATGCTGGGAATCACAATGTGCCAACTCTTTGGTATGTAAATGTTACTACATCTTCAAACATCGGGCGGTTCTGGTAATCCTAAATAAGGGTTTGTCTAGGACACATCTAGATGTGCCTTAGTTATTACACATCTAAGTGGCTCAATCAAACTAGAAAGGAAAAAGAAAAAAGAGGAAAGAAAATGTTTGCACAAATCTCCGTGTAAAATCAAGGACATGAGACTTAGAGGGTGTTTGTTTTCAGGGACTTATTGGTCTAAGGACTTAAATAAGTCCCTATAAGTCCCATCTAAACCAAACAGGAGGGACTTATAGGGACTTAAAGTGGGCATTTGGGACTTATGAAATAAGACTCTCAAGGAAGGACTTATAGGGACTTATAGTTGTAATATGGTCTTATGGAGACTTATAAGTCCCAGAACCAAACAGGTAGGGACTTTTTAGGGACTTGGGACTTATAAGTTGGGACTAAAAAAAGTCCTAAGACTTATGAACCAAACAGGGCCTTAGATGTGCAATACTTAGGGCACATCTAGATATGCTTTAGCAAAACTGCCTAAATAAATAGCCAACGAAGAAAAAGTTTTCTCAGTCGTCTGATCAACTTGTTGTTATCCATCTGCACTTGTACGAATCTACTGCCACTGTAAACACATATAAGACGTTTCAGTTCACTATAAAGTCGTCTTTTATTTCTTTACAAAGGGAGAAGATGTTTAGATTGAATTAATTGTAGAGTCAACCTAGAAATTGTTATTTTTCTATCACTTTAGAAATAGCAAACCGTTCAAACAGATATGTAGATAGATAGCCAGTAGGTTGTTAGACCTGGTTTGGACAGATTGATTGCTTGCCTCCTGTCTGAAACATCAATAAAACACAAACAAAAAAAGGTGGGCAAAGGCAACAGTAGTGTCATAGGCAGGCGTCTTTGGCTGCTTGATGGATGATCTTCAGTCTCTTAGCCCGTCCTTTTGAATTGGGTTGTCGTTGTGGGTTGGAAGGTGTATAATGTCTTCTGTCAAGGTGTTTTTGTCAGGGTTCACATGCGTAGTAGCAATGTCGTGGTTTGTGGATGTTGTGTAATCAGAGAGTCTAGCAGAGCGTCGCCTATGCGGTTGTAGGTTTCTTGTCATATGAGTAGTTAGTTCGTGCTTCGTTTGTATTGGTTTTCGCTCAATTTTCCGTTAATTAATTGGGTAATTCTCTTCTTCTTAATTAATTGATGAGGCAAAAAAATTACCTTCATTTAGAAAAAAAGATAGATAGGCAGCAAAGATCCTGCTTACCTTCTCGAACACTTTGTTGTTTTAAGCTCCCGAATGGATTGTTCCACATGGATCCGAGCGGGAGGGGATTTTACAGAGAGACGTTTACTTAACCGTTATTAATCACAGGCTGACGATCCCAATAGTAGCATCGGGTCACCGGCATTCCATCCGCTCCGCGTGAGATCGAGAGGGCAAACCCAACGGCACGCCAGTACTAGTGCTTCCGATGAGGCGTTGGCAGTGGCAGGTTTCTCCTGATGTACGGAGGTGTACAGTGTACTTAGACCAACTTCACCACACGATCTCAAACGGACGTCCGTTTTGTCCTGTTTTTGTTCCTTTGGATAGGGATTTGGGGTCGTGTCCGGGCCTGTCCTAGGATACGGTGGCCGTGCGCCCAGCGCGCTGCCGCATCCTTTTGCCCCATCCTGTCCGTCAGGGCCAAGAAATGCCCAAATTTGCATTAAAGCTACTTTCGAACCCACATTTTTGTCTGAAAATTAAAATAGTTTTACAACCCAATTGAAATTGTCTTTAATAAAATAGTTTTACAACCAAATCGAAATTGTCTTGACTGAACATAAAATGGACAAATACATCTATTGATTGCCAATGTGATCCCACACGTACTCAACCAAGTCATTTTGAAGATTCACATGAGTGTGCCAATCACACATCTCATGGTGGAATTGGGCAAACTGTTCAAATGTGGCCGGGTCTTGGTGCAGGGGCTCAATATTTTCACCTTGATAATCAAATCCTTGGTCGAAGATACTCTCATCACGCTCGTCCTCGACGATCATATTGTGCATGATCACACAAGCAGTCATCACCTTCCAAAGCTTCCCTTCATCCCATGACAGTGCAGGGTTTCGAACGATACCCCACCGGGATTGAAGCACACCAAAAGCACGGTCCACATCCTTTCTAACACTCTCTTGCATTTGGGCAAATCTCTTTCTCTTCTCCCCTTGGGGTTTCGAGATTGTCTTCACAAAAGTTGACCACTGAGGATATATACCATCTGCTAGATAGTATCCCTTGTTGTAATGGTGGCCGTTGATCTCAAAGTTGACAGGTGGAGAGTGGCCTTCTGCAAGCCTCGCGAAGACTGGAGAACGCTGCAGCACGTTGATATCATTGTGAGAACCTGCCATGCCGAAGAAAGAATGACATATCAAAAGATCTTGTGATGCCATCGCTTCTAATATGACAGTGCACCCGTTAACATGCCCCTTGTACTGGCCCTGCCAAGCAAATGGACAGTTCTTCCACTCCCAGTGCATACAATCTATGCTGCCAAGCATACCTGGAAAGCCTCTAGCTGCGTTGGTCGCCAACAATCTCTCTGTATCAGCGGCAGTTGGCCGCCTCAAGTACTCTGGGCCAAAGACCTCGATCACAGCCTGGCAAAACTTGTACATTGACATCAGACATGTTGTCTCACTCATACGCGCATACTCATCCACCATATCGCCTGGAATTCCATATGCAAGCATGCGGATGACCGCGGTGCATTTGTGGTAGGAGGAGAATCCAAGCTTGCCAAGGGCATCCGTCTTGCACTCGAAGTATGGGTCATGAGCAACCACTCCCTCTCGGATACGATTGAACACATGCCTTGCCATACGAAAACGACGACGAAATTTATCCGGCCTGAACAGCGGGGTGTTGGCAAAGTAATCTGCATAGAGCAGGGCGTGGCCTCTCTCCCTGTTGCGGTTCAGGTTGGGAGCACGGCCAGGGAGTGACCCCCTGTACCGAGGAAGCTGCCGTTGAATATGGTCGTGAACGACCAGTGCAGCCACCACAAGATCGTCATCATCCGACGACGAATCGTCCGATGAACAAAGGAAGTGATGGAAGAAAAACTCGTCTCCACTGTCCATACCTTTGTTGGCAAAAGGTCGAACACCTTGCGGGCGTGGTGGCGAAGAGGCTGCGATGATCACCTCGACGCAGTAGGGTGGTTGCCGGCCGGCTACATGCCGCTCTGGAGCTCTCGTCGGAATCTGCCTCGGCCGCCGTGGTACGTCGCCGGCAGTCGTGTCCCCTCTGCCACCGGCAAGGACGGTGACGGCCAAACCTCCTCCGATCGACGACCAAAACTACGGCGGAAGCGTGGGCATGGTGGCGG